TGAATAGCTGGGTGTCAAGGGACATAGAAGGCCCATAGGCTAACTGAGGGGGAAACCTAACTAGGGAGTCCTAGGGTATAGGAGACCCATTGGACTGGGATGTGAGGATTGGGTGCCAGATGTCGCTGATGTTGAAGCCGAAGTCTTATATTTATAATCTTGCTTCCACTAAATCAGTACTGTGAAGTCTGCTGGATAAAACAAACATAGTGATAGATTTATGACATCTTACGGTACTTGACAGATGCAGGCTCCGAAGTGTGATGTACATATGCAGATGGTTATGGTATCGAGTGATCTGTTTTGCTTGTTTTCTCCCAGTGTCTGATGTTTTTAGGCAATCTGAGCCATTCTCTTCTGATACTACATGTAGCATGAAAAGTCATCTGTGTTAGTAGTTGATAAGATTAATGTTCAAATTTTGCTGGCAAATTTGCTGACAAAAATTTGACAGCTCTTGGTTGAAAATTTCTTGCATAAATTTTTCTGGTGTTGTGAATGAAAGTTTTAACATTAATCCTACAACACAGATGAACTTTCACGCCAAATGAAACTCCAGTTGTACATGTAAGTGAAGTAGCAGACCCTAAATGAAATGTTGAATTGATTATTCCAGTTTAGCTTCAAGAAATTATATCTCACTTAAAAAGGCATTTTGAAGGAAAACGTTTTTCATTTGCAGTTTTTTTGGGGGGATAACGTGGGTAGGCTTAAATTGCACAGAACTAAGGCCTGTGGTGCAATTACCGGTACATGTAGGCATTAAGGCTTTTACCCTTTGCTTTCATAACCCTATACCTGTATATAGGCCAAAAACAGAAGAGAATTTATTGACTTGCAGACTGAAGTTTTCCCATACAGTGCACATGTATATGCCGTTGCAGTTGGGATGGTCCAAACAATACTAGCACATGTACATGTACACGTACCTGTACATGTACATGTAGGTGAGACTAGCCTTAGTACATGTACATGTATCAGGTATATGTTTTGAACAGTGCCATATTACAGGTACATGTAGTGGGCAGGGCTTCATTTTAATAAATACAAGGAGAGCTAAAAATCCCTCTCCTTAATTCACTTTCTTGATTTAAGGAGAGCGATTAAAAATTGTTCTCCTTAAATCAACAAAGTGAATTAAGGGAACGATTTGCTCTCGCTAACAAAAACCAAGTTAATGTAAATATACTCAATAAAATTAATGCAGTTTAAGCTCCTTTACTGAGTTCAATGAGTTAACTTTAATCAGTTAAACCATCTCTCTTCTCACTTTATATATTCAGACAACATGTGATGCAATGGAGTTTGGATTGTGATTATGAATGATAAGTCTAAGAGGGCTCTAAGATAACATTCAGCCTGTGACTTAGACTGATGCACCCATTTTCTAATAAACCGAAGAGAATAATGAAAAATTAATGTATGGATTCTTAGATTGCATTTTTCCCACTTTTTTACTTGACGGAGCTTGCTGAAATTTCATCCAAATGTTCCTCATGCCAAAAATCAGTCGACAAAGTGGTTATGAATCGGTAAACATGTCCATGGTTAACGTATTTGCAGAAAATTTTATCGAAAATCCGCCTCTAATGACGCTCCCATTTGAACTCGCTCTGTGTGCAAACTCGCTCGATCCAGGGCATCTACTGCATGTTCGCGGGCATGCATGTGGGTCTGTCATGTAGTCTTTCATCGTACATTGGTTTGGTGGACGTGGGCGCATAACTTGACTAGTCTCCTCACTTGCCCGACAATCCATTTCGCCGCTACAGGGGCTCTGAATTTACTGTGCATGTGTATCCTTGCTTTTTGGTATTTTAAAACGTATTGCACGTTCACTGCATATTGTATTCATCCTTTCCTGCGCTCACATTACTACTTCAACCAGTATATTTTCGTATAGAACACCGGGCACATTACCCGCCCGAGACCTTTTTCTTTCCTGTGGCATATTTTCTGTTCTCGACAAGTGAACATTGTTCTCACGCTCGAGCCACACAAACACGCAACAGGATCACACACCATCTGCAGCAACTACAGGGTTTTTCACAAACTCACATTTGCTGTTCACAAATGGCCCAGAATGTAGCGCCTGAACTCGACCCGTTCTGGGAGAGAGGTTGGCCAGGTGCAGCCACGTGCGTCCATGGAATTCCATAGGCTCGCCCACACACACTAGGCCCGCCCACATGCGCTATCATGTTTGTGTGTTGCGATGCGGGATTCATCAAGCACACGCGCACAACTCAAAGACTTTGATCACCAGCCCTTGTGTTTTATTACATTCAATCTTTGGACTCGTTTGCTTCTGTCGACCCAACGAGATTCAAGGGACTTGTCATAAATCAACATTTGCTGGTTTGAAAAAACCATGCACTCCTTAAATTTTTAAGGAGTGCTTTTTTTGCTCTCCTTGGGAAAACATTATGGAGCGCAGAGGAGTGCGATCACGTTCCTTTAAAATGAAGCCCTGAGTGGGGGCAGGGCATGTTACTGTACTTGGTCATGCATGTAGAGGTTGGATGTACATGTACAGCACCAGTAAGTACATGTACATGTATGTGTACATACACGTACATATGCAGCATTAGCCCCAAGGACTTGTATGTCGGGACTCATCAGCAGATCCCTGCTAAGAGCATTTACATCAGTCACTGATTAGATATACAGTCGAACCTCGTTAATGAGAGCACTGATAATACAAGAGTCTGCTTATAACAAGGATAATCATACATGTAGGTCCCAATCTTTTGTTTATCATTGTTTTCATTCCTGATAATACTAGGTTCCGGTTATAACAAGGTACATTGTAATTTGCCAATTCTGAAGGGCCTCTGAATAACGAGGTCCGACTGTACATGTACATGTATTTAAAGGTAATTAATTTCCCAGTCTTCAGGGGTCAGGATGTGTAACATTTTAATCAGTATCCCAGCATACATCTTTCCACCGACACATCATAAGTACATGTATATTGTACAGACATGTAGGAAGTTCTGTGCAATTCATGTCAACTGTAATCTTTTTCACGGTCCTAGAAAAAAATGTTATTGGCCTTAGAAAACTGTTACGATGTCATGTTATGGGTACATGTACATGTACTGGTACATGGTAGCCATAAAAACAAAGTTTACTGGATATTTTGTCACCACTATATACACGTACATGTATATTTCTTACAGGATGCTCTATCTATTGATACCAAACTGTGTTAATTCCACCAAGAAGTCCCAAACCATTGACCCTCTCTCAAGTACATGTATGTGATTACCTTGACAAAAATTGCTTAATGTACGAAAATATTATTTTTTTTCAGATAATGACATTCAGTAAGCAAGGATCATTGGTGTTGCGTAAATTCATGTATGGTCGAAGATGCTTTACTAGTACTACACCATCGGAAGTCAAGAGAGTGTCTCGATTTGCTTCTCTTGATGCTAAGATTGAGAGAGTTTTACCAGCGAAGTGGCAACCAATATGGAATCATCCAGCGGGTTGGTATACATGGATAGGCCTCCACCATGTTAAGGGGACTGTTTCTTTTGTTAGAAGAGTCTGGACTGAGTTGCGGGGACACAATCTTGATCCCATAATGCTTTTAAACAATATAGTGTTTTATTTCAACACATTTTCTCCATATACATGTACACGCACTGGTAACAAGTATATATTTGTACAGGTCAAAGATTACCAAGATTCATTAGTGTGTATTGCAGGTCAACAGTTCAGGTCAACAAGTCAATCACAAGTCATCCAGTCTTAAACCAAATCACAGATATATTAGTGAACTGTGACAAAAGAAAAAGCTCTTCTGTCAGTGTTAATCCTGTTACTTGTGACTGGACCTTTGGAAGGACTGATGTTTGGTGCCAGTCAAAGTCTGATGCAGCTTCAGGACCCCAGAGGTATCCCAGAAAAGCCAATGTGTTATTAATGTTGTGGCCTCTAAAAAGAGTAGACTTCCACAAATGATCATTGGGAAATGTATGAATGCTTTAGGACTTGGACAATCAAACTTGGCTGAGTAGGAAAGAAAGTAATTGGTAAACATATTCTTTATGAAATGTACATGTACTTATCAAATATCAGCACCAGAACCCTTAGAAAACAACACCACAAAATAAAAGCACGGATGTCAAGAGCGGTATATAATGCTTTTGGTATTTTTTCTCACCCAACATCATGTAAAATGAGCCTGAAGTTGCATCTTTTGAATTTGCCCCCTTGGACACCAAAAGCTGGATACGCTGCTGCTGTTATTGTTGCTACCCTGTATACTGTACTTTTACGGCAGCTCTGAGAAACATGTTTCCAATTTTTAACATTTTAGACAAGCATTTTAAGGATTTTGGATCTGCTCCTTTTCCCTCAAACTTTCAGGTCTGAAAACAATCCATTTCTGGGCACCAATGTTTAAATGGGTGAGTATTATGGTACCGGTAGCCTCACTGGCACAAATTTGTTGTGAAATGTCATTGAATTTTTGTAGTCTTCTTGAAAGGATTTTAAGGATGGTGCATGTACACTACCCGTCAAATGTTATATTGCACTTGTGCGCACCATTTCAGGGAAGTGTTTTGCACAAAAATACCCCGAATTGCATATAAATAATGAAACCTGTGTGATCTGTGTTCATTTTAATCTAATAAATTCATGTTTCCAATGGTTAATGGCATCTGTCTAACACCATTTTGATGCCGATTCTGAGACAGTTCCTTGCAACACGTTAAAACGCCATCTTGGATTGCCTCATTACGTATTCATGAGTCATGAATATAATTATTGCAGCATTTAAACCAATGACAACAAAGTTTGCGTGCTAGGAAAAACTGTATGATTAATACTTATAAGGTAATACAAACTCCCATTCTTGGAAAGGGAAATTAGATAACCAAAGCAGTTATAAAAGGGGAGCTGTTTTACATTTGAATACCATTCAGTGACCTTTTGAGAGCAAACAATGGCATCAAATACTCCGCTCGTTGATCACGAAAAAGGGATGATAGAGGCTTGGCACCGGGAGGGAATCACCAACAGGGAAATAGCCAGGCGGCTTGGCGTAAGTGAATTTGCTGTCGGACACAATCTGAGAAAACTTCGGGAGAGTGGAAGCATGAATGCCCAGTCAAAATCTTGTTGTCCACGGGCTACGACAGAGCGGAACGACAGGCACCTCGTGCAGTCATCAAGACGCGACCGCTTTAAGACCGCCCCTGAGCTGGCAGTTGAGCTTGCCAACCATGCCGGCGTGCAGGTCAGCCGCAGGACTGTATCATGCCAATTAGCTGAGGCTGGGCTTCATGGGCGAGTTGCCAGGCATAAGCTCCGCCTTATGCCAGCTCACAAAGAGAGGAGATTAGACTGGGCCCATATGCATCAGGGATGGACGGCCACTGACTGAGACCGTGTCCTTTGGAGCGACAAGTCGAGGTTCCAGCTCTTCCAGTTAGACAGCTTTTTTTTACGTCAGGAGGGCAGTTGGCGAGAAGTACCACAAAGACTGTGTGGTACCCTCAGTGAAACATAGGGACTCTGGCATCATGGTTTGGGGCTGCATAGGTTCTGCTGGCCTCAGTGACTTGACCTGTATCACAAATATCAATGCTGATGCTTATGTTGATATTCTTCGTGACCACATGCTGCCATCTGCCCATCGTTTGATTGGCCCTGAATTCCTGTTCTAGCATAACGATGCCCCGGCCCATATGGCAAGGGTGACGTTGGAATTCATCACTAATCCAACCCCAGATTTCATCCAAGATATGGGGGTCAGTTGGCAGTTTGAAGTGATGGAATGGCCAACCCAGAGCCCCGACCTGAATCCGATTGAGAATCTCTGGGAAGAGTTGGAGCGTCATCTCCAGTGTGAAAACCGACCCTGGAATAAAGAAGAATTATTCGAGATTCTCAATCAGATCTGGGAAGGACTTGACCGCCATGTCATCACGAATCTCTTGGATTCAATGCCAAGATGATGTCAGGCAGCCATTGAGGCCAATGGGGCCTATACGCAGTACTAATCCATGGGCCATCCTTCGTGTTTTGGGGGTCCTGGGCGCCGCCATCTTGGATTTTGCCGATAATGATATGATAATGAGGGCATACTCCATTAACGTTGTGCACGGAGAACAGAGACAACATCAAATTCAACGCTTTTGGCAACCTTAAAGGATAGATTCCTCACATAAAACGTGGATTTATTGGAATATGCACACAAAGGAAGACACGGGTACATAGTGTTTAGTGACTTTTTAGTGTTTTTTGCAATCATTTACAAACAAATACATGGTGCGATGTAGGTGCGATATAACTTTTGACCACCAGTGTACGTCACAGAATAGTTGAGTATTCTCAATGAAATCAATGTTAACAGGGCACCATGGTAAACAATCCACTGATCGGTAGTGGAGGATGCTCTGTCAAGAGCATAAAAGGCACCTATGTACTCTTTTATGACAGGTCGTATTTATGTCTTTTTTTTGAGACACTGGTATATTATGAGGCTAGTAGTGATAAATGACATTGATGGAGTTACATGTACATGTACATGTATGTTATGTATGTCTTGGTAGTAAATTTTGCATTTTTAATGGGTCATGTTTACATGCAGCTGACTGCAACATTTTATCTTGGTAGCTCATCCTTAAATGTAAAACTACAGAACTCATGGTATTATTGATGGATGTCTCCAGATTGTCAAGTCTGGGTACATACATTGTACATACAGGCATGTAATAATTGGCGTTCAAAGTTTAAAAAATTGTGAAACCACTGTGCCACTTGTTGCCCTTCTTCAAAACTACCAAGTGCTATTTACATGTATTTTGCAAAGTACATGTAGCTTCTGCTATGATCCTTACTGAGGTATTTTGATTACATGTTTGTGTCTATCTGTAGTGTGCTCATACATATGTACAACTCCCATATATTTATCTCCACTGAGCTGTTTAATCTTCATTTGAAACATCATGTACAGTGCTTGGTGATAGCAGGCCTGTCAGACTATGCCAGACCACCTGAGAAGTTAAGTGTGTCCCAGTCAGCTGCCTTGGCTGCTACAGGTATGTGAAAGCAGCGTAGGATTTCATGGGATTGGGTATATACAGTACGTATGTTCTTTGACATTTGGGCACATTTATAAAAGGAATAACTACTATTTCATGTAGGTAAACTGTTAGGAATAGGATCCCCCACCGGTACATGCATGTTCCATTGAATGTGTCCAAATGTTAAGATCAGGATATGCACACCCCAATCTTATGGAAAGCCTATCTCTGGTTAGTTATTAATGTGTTTACATGTATCTGCTCTTGAGAAGTTCATCTGTCTCCTAATACATGTATGCCTTTAAATTGAATGTTTTAGTTTATGTAGAGCCAGTGTGTTTCTGTTTCAAAACCAGGCATTTTCTGTTTTGCAAAATTCTGAATTCCTCAGAAATTCGTACTTAGTTTCAAAAATATGTACCTTAGTAAGCATAAGAAAAGAGCAAGTTAAAAAGTCTGCATGCAGACTGTTTGCCCAACCTTACTCCTCCCACAAAGAAAAGAAAGAACCTCCGTTTTGAAATACCCTGCAATGTTTTTGATATTCTTTTATTTTCTGTTGTAAAACTTTCGCAAATTTTAAACAGCATCCCCCCTTGATTTCCCATCATATGATTATCAAAAACTTAATCAATGGACAATTTGTATGTCAGTCCTCATGTACAGTACATTTACAAAATCAGATTCCGTTACCGGGAGTAGGTCAAACATGCAATAGCCATTAATCACAATGTGTAAATGTTAGACCTGTTATTTCATTTGGCAGTTGTGCGACAGAATTCGAAAAGTTTACATGAAATCTGGGCCTTAACCACTTCCTGCCGGGGACTCCAGGATCGGAAACGTATGGTTTATATGGGTGGCCGGGGTCTCCGAACTCGGACAAAGGAAGCAGGGCCCTGTAACAAAAGACTGTACTCCGAACAAAAGACCAGACTGCTGAGCATTACCAACATTTTTCACTCTCAAAAGTGATGATAATCCAGCCTTGTTTTGAAACCGTATACCAGGGTTTTGGGCATTGAGAGCGAGTGGATTACCATTGGGGACAAAAGTGCTCCACCACCACAGCAANGTGCACTAAGCCAGGTTTGTGAACAAAAGACAGTTAATACAACACCGCACAATCTGGGCTCTGTTTACAAGGCTGCTGGCCTGGCTGAAATACTCGGGCATCAGTGAAGGTCACCTGTCAACTTAGAGTAGTGCCTAAAGATTACTTGGTGCGGCTATAAACGACCGTTTAAATGATGAATTTTTGAAGGATTTTGAAAACGGAAAAAATGATAGTCATGCCGGCCCAGCATCATCAACGTTGAAAAGTGCCCCGGCATGAAGTGGTTAAAATGCATGTTGTGAGTAAAACCTTTGCTCTTCATTGTAGACAGCAGGTGTCCTATTCACAGACGTGAGATTGGAGGAAAATGAAATATCCACAAAATAATCATCAGAGGTTTTGATGGTCCTATTGTTATAGGACCAATGTACCGGTATAGGGTCAATGTGTTCACTTGGTTGTGCCTGAAGGCGACCCCTTAAAGGCTTTATATCAATTTATTAATGTCAAACACCTCAATAGAAATCTCAGCATTTTCCAAATTTTTGAAGAGATTGTTTTGAAAATGAGCATGATCCAAATTTGTCCGTCACTTGAGGGACGGACATCAATGCATTAATTGCTCTGCCAAAGATTTCTTGAATATTTATCCTCAGTAAAAAACGTGTTTGTTTAACCCTGACACCAGTACAAATTGGCCACATAACATTTTCAATTTATCTAATTTTTTTTTGTTTTGTTAAAGAAGATTTTAGTGCGTGAGGGACGGACATCAATAAAAATGACTACCTTGACCTAAGTCCACAGATTTGTATTTGTTATTGAAACTTGGAAACATTCTCAACTTTGGTTAATATAAATCAAAACATTAATGTTCAAACTCCTCAATTGACAAGATTTTAAATCATTGACACTCACTGGAAAGGTTATACTTGGGTTGAAATAAGAGTGAGGGATAGACATATTTCTGTGTGAGGGACGGACGGAAATGTGACTCTTTTTGAAAAACAAAACTTTATGGAATATTTTACCCTAAATGAAATGACTAAATCCTAATTGATGGAAAATCAGCCAGTGAATTATAAATTGATTCAATTTAATTATAATTTTGAGCCGTCAAAATAAATGTGAGGGACGGACATTGCCAGCGTGAGGGATGGACATTACAGTTAACCATCGGCAAAGCGTAATTACTGAACTTTCCATCTGACAATAATGGGACCCTGTCCTACTAAGGATGGCAGAAGTTAGACAAAATGGATGTTTAGGTTGTAGTTTCTACAAAAATCTCTTCTTAAACAAGTGTGAAATGTCTTCGAAGTCAGATTTAGACAGTGTTTGGACTGAAGACCAACAAGATGAGATTGGAGTTGGTGCTTCTCCAAGCTTGAAGATGTTTTTTTGTCTCTCCAGCATATGTCCTTGACTTTGAAGACATTTTGGGTGGGATTGGCTTGCTCTGAGAATTTAAGCTTCACTCCAAGAGAATCCCAACGAACCGATAATGAAACAGGCTGAAGTAAACAGCAAACCAGTATCTGGCAAGCTCTCAGCCTTTTCAACAGCATGGGGCTGGGAAGTACATGTACTAGATCATGTAGATGCCATGGGTGGCCCTCGAAATGTCATGTTGTATTCCAAGGACTCCATACAAGTACTTTCATCATCTTCGTTAGGCAGAGTCAAAGATGAAGTTTTGTAGAACTGCAGCTGCCATTTTTGACAACCACTACACTTACATACAACTTGGTGAACTTGCCATGTTCCGGGTACTGCAGTTGCTGATGCCAGAGGTTCTGACAGATTAGCAACTTTACTTTTGTCAAGATACAGTACTTGTGTTTTGAGTATCTGATCTGCATATGAGGCAAATTCAGAAGCTGATGTTAAGACAACATTTGGGGCCATAACATCTCTGAATACTGAACTTTTCACAGTGCCGCCAATGGCATCTACCACTTCCTTGCCATGATGGGACTCAAAACTGTTTCAGGTTACATTCAAATCCCATGGATATTCACACAGTAATGCAAATGTGTATCGTGTCTTGAATTGGGCCACACATCTATCAGTCCAAAAGTTTACAGATTGAAGATTTGGTACATGCTTCCTAATGTTTTCAAGAAGGATGTTATTGCATGTGAATGTAACAGCTTTACTGCGCTCATGATGATCAGACTCATTACTGACCACGACAAATGACTTGGACTCGGTGTCCTCAGATGGATTTGAAAACCATGCACAAAAATTCTCATGTCCAAAGTAGGCAGACTGAATTTCATGCTGTTGCTTATTTTCATAATTTTCTGCAAAGTCAACATGAATGATGGCTGTTTTAGGAGGGATGCTGATATGCATGGCTTCCATCACAGCATGATGTTCTTTAATGGTGTGGTGATTATGGCGAAAATTTTTCAGCATGGTCTGCAGCTCTTGTGCTGCTTCAGGACCAGTGACAGTTTTTGGCAGTTTTTTAGGATTTTTTTCTGAAGACTTTTTCCACTGATGATAAGTGATGGAGTCAACCAACAGTAATTCTTCCAAATTGTCTTTGAGAAGTTCCATTCCTGGACACAGATCACACTCACGTCAATACTCTCCTTATTTTCATCAGAGCATATTTTGAGGGAAAGTAGGTCCCTCTTTGACATTGTTGGCAACTTTCTGTGGGCATTCACACAGTGAAGTAGCAAGTCCAAGTTCTCACAATCAGGGCACAAGCATAAAAATTGAGGAATGTCACTTTTAACTTTAACATACATGCAGTTGAACTGTGGTAAATTCATCATTCTTTGGAATGTTCCATATCCAATTGTGCAGCTATGTTCACGCCTCAATTCCTCATTGAGCATTGGCAGAATAGAACTGTAAGTCCACAATAAGTAGCGCTTTGGCTCATACACCTTGGATCCATCTTCAGCTTTTTCACAGCAGACTACATCTCTTAGGCCAGGACATGCATATGTGATACTCTCTTTTGGGAAGAACTGTTCTGCATTGGCTTTCTCTGCATCATTCAGAGTTTTGGGTCTGCCTGCTGTAGAGGCAGGTGGTAAAGTTGACGGGCTTGATGGCAATGATTCTGCAATTTTCTTCTTGCTTGCCGGGCTGAGGTTATTTACCAGACGATGAATGATAGCATGCCGCTTTGCAAGAGAACGTGGCATGACAAAACTGGCACATTTAACACTTCAAAAAATTGTTTGTTTATACCGGAATGGTGTTTGATCTGCTCCTCTGCAAAGGTGGAGGACTTCGTTGATGTACTGGTACCGGTACATGTACTTCATTATCAGGCTGTAATTTGCTACACTTCTTGGCTTGTCTCTCCTTGTGCTTTCTTTCTCGATCAGCTCCACGATGTTCTTCTGCTAGATCTTTATCCATGTAGATTTTTGCTCGTGCTCTTTGTTTCCGTAGCTGTTCCCAGTTTCTGATTTCTAGAAGGTGATTTTGCCTATACTTGGACTGGTGTTGTGCACTAGTCATTGCTTTTTTATCCATTTTTATTGACTGGGTTTTATTCTCAGTGCACAGCACACCACACTTCTCTGTGAATGAGACTATTACAGTAGTTGACATACAGTATTACCACCATGCAAGAACATACAATTTGGATTCAGGTGCACTCGATTTACGGAGTGCACCTGACAGGTTGACAGGCTGCCTCGCACCACTGCTTTTCAAAAGCTCTGCTGTAACAGTCAAGAAGTAAGTTCACCTTATTTTATAGACCTCTCCTCCTGGACTCTTTTGAAAGCCTGATTTAACCTCAGTGTCAAGGAAATAAGCTTAACATTTTGGTGCACCTCTTCTCTGGACTGTGGACCTGTCTGCCATATTCTATCTTGACTGGTGACAGCACTTCCACAAAGAAGATTAAGCTGCCGAACAGTAGTTGAACAATGAACAGTCAGTGATACCTAAGTATAACAATGAAGTTCTTCAAGGTATGCATGCCACTGGTGCTTTTGCTACTTGGTTTATGCCTATCTGAACGTCATGCCACACAAATGGCTACCCTAATCAGAACCCTCGCAGCCTGAAAACATTGTTCCATCATAAGAGATATTTTAAGTCTCCTGTCAGTTACTATGCAAACTCTTGTGCTACATTCACCGTCTCCCTGGTCTGTTGTGGTGACATTAACCGAAACCCAGGACCCAGTCAGAACCTTAATTCAAAGGACTCCCTTGGTCACCGTATTAGATACAACCATATCCATCTGTTAGACGTTGCTTCCTTATCTCAGAATTCCCCCCCTACCAAAATTGACCTGGAGCTTACTAAAAGAACTACATATTCTGCGTGTCCCCCCAACGCACCATGGTACTCGAGCCAGTAAGACAAAATCTATATATCCACCCAGTGATACAGCCATTCCAACTGTGATCAGTACCCCACGGAAGGAGATCGCTTACAGAGGCCAGACCAGCTTAAATTCTAACAATCTGGTTAGAATCAACACTTCTCAGCCCGATCACTGCACACTGCCGAACTTGACATCATTGTTTCTGTGAAATGACGGTCAGTCATTATCAGTCACCATCAGATTATCAGTCACCACCCTTGATGCTAGCACTGAGACGTGGTTCAAGCATGATCAACCCCCTGAAGTTGTGGCTACTCCTGGCTACACCATGTTCGCTAAATCGAGACTCGATCGAAATGATGAAAGGGTAGCCATTTACGCAAAGCACCACCTCAAACCGTCATCGCCTAAGGACATTGTAGTCCCCACCAACCTGGAGGTTGTGTGGATTAAGCTCCGCCCACAACGTCTTCCGCGATCAATGACGTGCATCTTCTGCGCTGCTCTCTACTACCCTCAACGAGATCATTTTGCAGAAACACAACTGAACACATACATGTATTTTCCTCGGTTGATGAATTATCAACCCGTCCTCCTGATGCCGGTTTTGTCATACTTGGAGATCTCAATCAACTTAACACGGATCCATTACTATCTGATCAGAGCTATTGTCAAATCGTCGACCGCCCGACCAGAGGTGATAACACCTTGGACAAGATAATCACCGGACCCATTATCGGTGCAGCCGGCCTATGCCTGAGAGCGCAATGAGATCATTTGGTGCTTGGATAACAAATCACGATTGGTCAGAAGTTACAATGCAGTCTGACGTCAACTCCCAGTGTGAGCGCCTTACACAAACCCTCAACTTGGCCATTGACAAATATTTTCCCTCATGCAAGGTAAAACTGCACTTTTGTGACAAACCCTGGATGTCTGCAAGAATCTAAACTCTCATACGTGACAGACAAAATGCCTTTCATCGTGGTGATCGTCTAAACTGGAAAAGACTAAGAAACAAGGTCAAATCTTTCATCACTAAAGCAAAAATAGAATATTACTCCATGTGAGTACAACGTTTAAAGTGAAGCAATCCTGCAGCATGGTATCGGGAAATCTGTGTCCTTACTGGAGGCCAGCAGAGCCACATACCAATACATGTACCTGGTATTTCATCCGATGACCATTTTAACCACTTCATGCCGGGGCATATTTCAATGTTGTTGATGCTGGGCCGACATGACTATCATTTTTTCCGTTTTCAAAATCCTTCCAAAATTTGTCATTTCATTTAACGGTCGTTTATAGCCACACCAAGTAATCTTTAGGCTCTACTCTAAGTTGACAGGTGACCTTCATTGACGCCCGAGTATTTCAGCCAGTCCAGCAGCCTTGTAAACAGAGCCCAGATTGTGCTGTGTTGTATAACTGTTTTTTGTTCACGAACCTGGCTTAGTGCACTGCTGTCCTCTTTTCAATAGGGGCCAGATTAGCATGCAGCGGTGCTGTGTGGCTCATCGCTGCGGTGGTGGAGCGCTTTTGTCCCCGGTGGTAATCCGCTCGCTCTCATTGCCCCAAACCCTGGTATATGGTTTCAAAACAAGGCTGGATTATCACCACTTTTGAGAGTGAAAAATGTTGGTAATGCCCAGCAGCCTGGTCTTTTGTTCGCAGTACAGTCTTTTGTTACAGGGCCCTGTTTCCTTCGTCCGAGTTCGGAGACCCCGGCCACCCATATAAACCATACGTCTCTGATCCCGGAGTTCCCGGCAGGAAGTGGTTAACATAGCTAACAACATCAACAAACTTTCTATCTCGCAGTCCTCTGATCTGAGCCCCCTCGGTTTGAGTGCACTGCCCGCATATCTCCCAACGCTGACTCCAAGTCCTGTAGTGTACCCATGGGAAGTGCACAATGCAATGGCGAAGGTCCAACAAAAGACCTCTGGTGGTCCAGAAGGGATATCCGCATGCATAATCCGTGAGTTTTCGGTTGAACTTGCTGTTCCACTAAGCCACATCGTCAACTTGTCATTTCAATGAGGACTTGTCCTGGACGAGTGAAAATGTGCTATAGTTGTCCCGATCCCCAAAACCAACCCCCATCGATTGACAAACTTCAACCTATTTCCATAGCAGACCACTTTGCAAAAATAGCGGAGTCGTTTATCGCAAGATGGACCCTGCAAGATACTATCCCTAAGCTTGATGAAAATCAGTTTGGCAACAGGAAATCACTCTCTACTAGTCACTGCCTAATTAACATGCTCAATCCTATCTATGTTAATGTGGAAAAACCCAAAACTATATCTTCTATAATCCTTACGGATTACACAAATGCTTTTGACAGAATTGACCGTATAATTGTTGTTGTTTCAAAATTAATTGATCTCGGAGTGAGGAGTAACATTATCCCCAAGATTTGTGACTTTGTACTCTCATCAACAGTGTGTCCATTATCATTCAACCTGCTCAAACTGGTTAACTCTAAATGCCAGAGTTCCACAGGGAACGAGATTGGGACCAATAATTTTTTTAGCAATGATTAATGATGCATGTCTATCTGAACAAATGCACACTCTCACGTATGTTGATGAGTTAACACTAGTTGAATGCCGGCAAGTTAATCAATTTTCGAGTATGCAACTCGCAGTTAACAATCTTGTTCAGTGGTCTGATCAAAACAAAATGAAATTGAATCCTACAAAATGTGTGAAAATGGACGTTTCCTTTATGAGAAACCAACCATTCCGACCCAATGTAGTTATTAATGATCATAATCTTACTACTGTGAGTAATGCTAAGATCATGGGCGTTCATATCCAAAATGATCTAAAATGGGATTCACACGTAAAATACATCAAAAAATGTGCCAATGGAAAACTCGATATGTTACGCGTATTGAAGAAATAGCCTTCCATGCGAGGATACACCCGGCCCCTCACTGAACATTCAGCACCAGTATGAAGCAGAGCATTGACAAAGCAACAAAACAGTGAATTGAACGAATCCAGAAACAAGCACTGCGCATTGTGTTAGGATAAAGATATGCAAATTACCTCGATGCTCTCTCCCAATGCTCTCTCCCAATGCTCCCTTCAATCCTTGGAGGACTGCAGGTTAACCCCTAAGACACACAGCCAAAATTGTTTAATTTTTTTTAATTTAAATTTAATTTTTAAATTTTTTTAACGTAATTTTTTAAGCTTTCATACTGGTACTTCTTTTTTCGTAATTTTAAAGATAATTTTAAAATCCTGTTGATTTATTACATGTATGTGCCTCAAGGAAAAAAAAATGATTCTATCTTGTGAGGGACGGACAGTATTGGGAATATTGCCCTGAAGTGACCCTCCTGTTAATTACCATAGGGCAGTTAATTTAACCCCATGTTTGCAAGAAAGCTTTGTATGTTATATTCTTGATATGCACAACAATTGCAGGATTCCAGCACTTTGTGAATTTCAAAACTTGCCTTTTCAGATGAAGTTTCTGTCCGTTCCTCACATTTAATAATTGATGGTATCATATTTAATGCATGATATTCCGTAATTAATAATGATATTGTTAGAAATTTCTTTTAGATTAGAAAAATATGATCCTTTCTTAGTGAAATAAAACAATTTTTAAGGGTGTTAATTGAAGGAATTTTAACTTTTTCCCTATATGATGGAAAATTAGGGAAATCCTAACAAATCTCACCTCTGTATTCAGCTATGATATACAAAGCCCACTAGGTTTCATTTAATCCAAGAAAAAATGCAATGTGTCTTCCATTTTATTGCCATGGTTTGATCATTCCACCATACAATACTAGCCTCATCTCAAGGGTTTATGCAGATTTGCATATTGAATTCCTCATGACTGTGTGCAATATACATACATGTAGGTGTATGAACCTCTTTACATCTTGATTTTGTTGCTAGTACGGTGCACATGTGATCGGCCAATCAGTGCACCGCTTTGTGTTGGCAGCCGCATCACATAACGTGTGGGGCTTCAGCACACCATGGCATGTATTCCAAGTACATGTATCAGTATTGGCTGACTCGATCACATGCTGGAATGATGCAATTTTGTTTGTTAAAAACAAGCATTATATAAGGGTCGGGTAGGCGTGTATTTTCAGTTTTGTGGGGGAAGGTTTCTTCACTTCTTATGCTATGTATACTGTGGAATTTTGCCAGTTCCGTTTTAAGCAGTGGTTTCTGTTTCAAGGTGTTGATTCCACAAATTCTGTCCATTATGTGATCACAGAAAATCAGTGGCTCTATTAGATATTTGAAGACTTGAACCTTTACCGTGAGACACTTCTCACTTCTCAAATGACAGGCATGATATGGTCTCGCTATTCCATGGTAGTCATCCCTAAAAACTGGAACCTGTTCAGTGTCAACATCTTCTTGGCTTTTACTGGCTTGATGCAGCTGGCAAGGATTTACATGTAAGTCATACACTAACTTTTATACAGACACTGGGCCAGGGACATTTGCCGTATTGAAACCAGTTTTGATCTCATCTCATCTACTCGTGGTAATGGTATAAGTCTCCTGAACATTTTACATTATACGTAATACAAGTTTTACCCTTGATTGGTACCCATTTTCTGTTTTTCCTTCTCAGGTATCGTCAAAGTAAGAGGAGTGAATTGGACGCTGTACTTTAATGCCCCAGGCCAGATTTTCAAAAATGATGGGCTCTTTTTTTTGTTAGTTTTTAATAAGCATACTGTTGCAGTTGAGATTTTTAGCTGCTTCCGTGTACTGCCAAAGAAGCTATTGCTTTCATCATTTGGGTAACTTGGCTATCTTTGATTCTCCTCATAGTTACACCAAGCACAGACCTTAAGGCAAAGATAAAATTTAAATAATTACATCATGATTATGTCATCAAGTGATTTGTTATTAGATTTTGAATATTTAAATATTATGTTAAATTTTTAAAAATTCATGTAAAATCAGCCATGGCTTTAATTTGTCTTGTGTGGGTAAAATCACATGACCCTTCTTTCCGGTTAAAATCGGAAGTCAGCTTATTGTTTAAAACTGGTAACAGGTATCAAATTGCTTTCAACGGTGTTAGTCTCTAGGGGTATTGTACTCTTCAAAACGTCCACTGATGACGTCATGCAATTGTCGAGTGCCCTCTAGCTGATGATGTCTGTGGTGAAGTTTGTCCGAATCGCCTCAAAACTGATGTAGACAATTATCTTTTAATACCCAGTTAGCACATGTGAAATTTTAGGCCGATGACGTCATCACACTGGAAGTTATGATGAAAAGTCCTTTTATTCTTCAAAATTCGGTAAAAAATCAACCGCAACAGATTTAAGCGTGAATCGTTCATTAGATTATAGCTAAAACATTGAAGGCAACTGCACTTTTTCACACAGATGAAGCACCGACGACATTCACAATATTTGCGAACTCAAAAATCCCATTCGCATACTGGGCATTGGCTATTGTGTGCATGGATGCGTAATATGTGCCTGTAACATAGGCAGTGCATAGTATGTAAGATTATACTCAAGAGTTGGCAAATTGCTAAGCACATGGTGCTGAGAGCAGATCACATTGTATGGAACACCAAGAGGGGCAAATGTGTCTCTAATATGTGCTCTTTCAGCGATAACAATAATGTTTTGTAAATTGTATCTTGTATTGTACTTGTCTGATTGGGTGGAAACCTTGCAGATGGTTAGAAAGGGAAGGTTTATAAACGGAGATTGACCTTGTGATGACAATATCATCAGCCGACGAGTCGCGTGACAGTAAAGGGGCACTTCTGAAAGTGCTATATCTCATGAAGTACATTTTTGATTGGGTTCAAAACCTTGTAGACATCTTGAAAGAGGGCTTTAGACGAATGGTGCCAGTATGTGACAAGTCACAGTTTTCAAAACATTAGTTCTCCTGAAGCACAAGTCTTTTGGGGTTAAAACCTGTATGTGTAAGTATATGAATACGTATATTTTAAAGAAATTGACAATATGCCAACATGGCACTTTCCTTCAGAAAAACAAAAGGGCGGTCCACTGAAATCGCTTCAGTACATGTACAGTGTTTAATTTTTTTCTGTTGTCACACCATTTCAATTGTATAATTTGTACAATAGAAATCAAGTCATGAACATAGTTGGGCTAAGAGTATTTGAATTTGTTATACATGTAAGCTTTGATGAATTTTATCTTCAACGAATATTCTCAGTATGTTTAAATGTAGTGGCCTAACTTGAAGTGAAATGGTTTATAAGTATGTTTTTTCCCATTAGCACTTGCATTCGTTTGAATTTTAATTTCAGAATTGGTGAAGTGGAATCAAAAAAGAAAATCAAACTGCACGGAAACCATTTAGGAGTCTAGTCCAACATCATTAATAAGAGGTCCGTACAATTTTATAAATAACCTTGCTGTAAAAAGATCCTTGTAATTGTCAGGAATGAAGCAATAACAAATGATTGAGACCTACCGGTAAACAGAAACACCTTTTTATATTCATATTGTTGCATTAGCAGTGCTCCTATTATTATCGAAGTTTGACTGTATACATATGAATACTTTCAAGTTAAATAAATTATCATGAACAAATTCGTATTTATGATATTTATTTAAACTTTATGCAAAGTGCATTTTCATACACTGGAGGGTGCACCACTAGAGATAAATTCCCATAGACAGCAGGGATAAATCCCCCATACTTCACAAATATTTAAAAAAATACAACTCTCACAGGTGTTCAGGCTACACAGAAAAATGATGGTCCACATGTCCTCTTTCATTTCCCTTTCAATTTTTGGGGCGTTGACCAATGAATTTTTGAGAAATTTTCACCAGAAGCAGACCACCCCTAAAATGCAGAAAATGTCCCTGTCCAGAAAAGTAGCCATTTTGAAAAACCATCCCTCTGCAAAATGGCTCAAATAGTGCCACTTTCGGACCCGATTGCATCCAAAATGCTCAGAATTGGAAGCCCCGAGTCCAGCCCAGAGGTTCAGTCTCATATTTCTTCAATTCCCCAGTTCCATGGCTCTCAGGACCCTCTAATATAGAATATTTTGAGTCTATTAATGAGGTCGGCAGACATATTTCTGGCCTAAATACAAGGGTGCACCCTGGAATACAATGAAGACCCCCCACATGTCAATACTACTAATAATTAAAGCAGGTGCATGTTAAAGTGTAGCTGAATTTTTCTGAAACACAATTTTTCTTTAACCTGCAAATTTTTCGTCAATGTATGAAAATTCTTACTTTCCCATTTGCTTCAAATACTGGTGCATTGCAAACTGCATGCTTTTAAACAATTGAAATTATTAATGCTTTCCTGGACAACTGAGGGCGCTGTTGCTGTGAAGTCATGTAGGTGTTACCAAGCAATCCACCCAGAAAAGGATTGGGGGAAGCAGCTATTTCCAATGTAGAGATTTTTATTAGGGTGTATCAAGGGTATTAAAAAAACAACAAGGATGACCACGAATTACTGTCTGAAAATTAAAAACAATAAATTACCAGTAAATTACATGAAATTTTGTTTCCTTCTTACAGGATTAAAGCTGCAATAAAACGGAGTTGAGAATTGTGATTTTGTCCCTCAAATAACATGTACTGTTGTAATTCTTCACATATATTTGCTTACAAAAAATGTTTTCTTCAGTCTGACAGAGAGCTCAGTTTTAGGCCCTTTTGTCCAGGCTGAACAAGCCCTCTGCGAAAATGGCAGTGCGATTCACAATAGTGTGCCTCCAAGAGTTTGCAACGCGTTGGCCAATCAGAGTGCGCGAACTTTGTCGACCCAATGTGCGTTTGGAAAGGGTCGACAACTAAGACCCCGGTTAGAGAGACCCAAGTTGCCGACATTTAGTGGGGATGTCAGAGATTACTACACTTTCAGAGATGACTTCAAATACATGATCGACTCAAACTATGAGGCAAGAGATGCTGTCTCCATCCTACGAAACAGTTTGACTGGCAAGCCACTTGAGTTGTTGAAAGGTATCGGAACAGATTATGTGGCATGTTGGGACTACCTGGACATGTACTACGGTGACCCAAAGGTCATTCCTAATGCAGTGGCTCAAGACCTGACCAGATTTAAGGCCCTTACAGATGCGGAAGACAGCCGCTTTTGTATGTTCTCTCAGCTCGTGAGGCGTAGCTTCAATATCTTGAAACAAATCGGGAAAGAGGCAGACATGAACAACAACCACATGCAGGCCCTCATCCAGAAAAAGCTTACCCCAGATGACAGAAAGGTGTTTACCCGAATGTTACAGCAAAATGGGGAGGAGGCTTCTCTTCGAGGCCTACTGAAATTTCTTGAGGATGAAACAAAAACCAGAAGAAGAAGAACATCTAGTCTATCAGAAGTACCAGTATTACGTCGCAGCCCGCCAGAGTACATGTGACCAAAGGACGACCTGCCACTACAGGAAAATGGAAGAAGTGCTGGGGGTGTGAGACTGATAGTCATTGGCCTGACCAGTGTCCGTCGTTATTAAAGCTGACTCCTGAAGAACGCCTGCAGAAGGTGAAAGACAAGCATGCTTGTTTTGCTTGTCTTAAGAAAGCCGGCAGAGGGCACAATATGAACACCTGCAGCAGAAAAAGGAAATGTTCCCAGTGTGACTCCCATCACCACCATCTTCTTCACATAGTAAG